TCCAAGCTGTGTCCTGCCCTTTACACTGGGCTTATATTTAATCAGGGCATCTGCCATTGCCACTTCCACAGCACCAGCACCTGGAAACACACAGCCCTCATCAACAGCATTTTTGACAGCCCTCAAGCCATCCCTTACTGCATCTTTTGAGCTGAATGAGTGTGTGCTTATTTGGTCCTTTGATCAATAATGTGACAGTGAGTTTTGTTACATTTCTCAATAAAGGTGCACTTCTCTTCTCCCAATGTATATTTGTATACAAGTCCTGCATGTCCCAAGCAGTCAGGATTTAGGTTGTCAAAAGAATTCAGGGCTACCTCACCACAAGCAAGAGTTGGCCTCTCCATATTTCTCCTTTTATCTCTGTGCAGAGTGACTATGCCTTCTTTTGCAAAAGCATCTAAGGAAAGGGGGTCAATTCCCTCTTGATTAATAACAACAAATCCTTTATCTGAATCACCACAGACTTTCCTTTTCAGTTCTTTTTTTTTTTTTTAACTCTTCAATGAATTTTCTTTCAGCTTTTATGAGTTTTTCTCTCTTCTGCACTCTTGTTAAAAAAAAAAAAAAAGCCAGAATTCACTTCTGTTTTATCATATTCTAATGACACATTACACTTGAGAATGTATATATCCTCCACCCTTTTCTTCCTATCAGGATGCTGTGCTCCGTGGTCCAAAACAAGCCCTCTGATTAAGCTCGTATCAGTTTCAGATTTATGTTTCATCTCCATGATCACAACCATGAAGAGATCAGTAGGTTCATCTTATCTTTTAATGGCCAAAATGGAGTTCACCACAGCCTCTGTTAAGGCATCTGCAAGTTCAGCATGAACTTTAGTGCCAAGAGAAGTTCTGGCCACATTTATAAGTGTTTCCCTGTCCATCTCTTTCCTTACTTTGACTTCTTCCAAAAACTGAAGGGCCTTTTCCTTTGCAGCTTCAAATCCTCCAGTGATTATTCTGGGATGAAGGCCTTCAGAAATGTAGAGATCCGCCTGTTTCAGTAGCTCTTCAATGATTAGGACATTGGAAGTTATACTATCACCAGTTATATCATCCTGGGCTGTTGCTACCTTTGCTATTAAGGAAGCTGTTGTGTGTTGAATTTGCATTTCGTGAAGCAGCACATTGCCATCTTTAGTAAGCTTGATGTCTCCAGCGCCAGAAACAAGCATCTTCATGGTGCCCTTGGGCCCCAGGTTGGTCTTCAGCACGTCCTGCAGACCCTGCGTAACGCTGATGTTGACCGTTAGCGCCGCCTCCATTCGGGCCACCTTGGCCTTGGGGTTTAGGGTCTTCACCACCGCCATAGCTGCTGCAGTGGAGGAAAAGGAAGCCATGGGGCACAGAGAGCCCAGAGCCGGTGCGGCCCTTTTTTTTTAATGGGGTTACTTTCTTCTAGTATTTTTAGTTTCTGCCTTTGTGTTTGGGTCTTTAATCCAACTTTAGTTACTAATTTTTGCATATGGTGAGATATATGGCTCCAGTTTCATTCTTCTATATGTGGCTATCCAGTTTCCTCAGCACCAGTTATTGAACAGGGTGTCCTTTCCCCAGCGTATTTTTTTGTTAACTTTGTCAAAGATCAGTTGGTTGTAAGTATGTGGCTTTATTTCTGGGTTATCTATTCTGCTCCATTGATCTATGTGTTTATTTTTTATACCATACCATGCTGTTTTTGTTACTACAGCCTTGTTATATAATTTGAAGTAAGGTAATGTCATGCCTCCAGCTTTGTTTATTTTGTTTTTGTTTTTGTTTTTTTGAGATGGAGTCTCACTCGTTGCCAGGGCTGGAGTGCAATGGTGCAATCTCAGCTCATTGCAACCTTCGCCTCCTGGGTTCAAGTGATTCTTGTGCCTCAGCCTTCTGAGTAGCTGGGATTACAGGCACCTGCCATCGCAGCCGGCTAATTTTTTTTTTTTTTTTTTTGTATTTTTAGTAGAGACGAGGTTTTACCATGTTGGCCAGGTTGATCTCAACCTCCTGACCTCAGGTGATCCACTCGCCTTGGCCTCCCAAAAAGTCCTGGGATTACAGCTGTGAGCCACCATGCCTGGCCACACCCGGCTAATTTTTGTATTTTTAGTAGAGATGGGGTTTCACCATGTTGGTAGGCCAGGCTTGTCTTGAACTCCTGATGTTAGGTGATCCACCTGCCTGGGCTTCCCAAAGTGCTGGGATTACAGGAGTGAGCCACCATGCCTGGATCAGCTTTGTTCTTTTTTCTTAGGATTGCCTTGGTTGTTCAGGCTCTTTTTTGATTCCATATGAATTTTTAGGGTAGTTTTCTCTTTCTTTCTTTTTTTTTAGTTTTTTCTAATTCTGTGAAAAATGTATGTTGGTAATTTGATAGGGATTGCAGTGAATCTGTAGATTGCATTGGGTAGTACAGTCCTTTTTTTTTTTTTTTTTTTTTTTTGAGACAGAGTCTGTCTGTTGCCCAGGCTGGAGTGCAGTGGCGTGATCTGGGATCACAACAAGCCCCGTCTGCCTCTTGGGTTCATGCCATTCTCCTGCCTCAGCCTCCCAAGTAGCTGGGACTACAGGCACCCGCCACCAAGCCTGGCTAATTTTTTGTAGTTTTTGTAGGGACGGGGTTTCACTGTGTTAGCCAGGTAGTACAGTCATTTTAATGATATTGATTCTTCTAATCTATGAGCATGGGATATTTTTCCATTTGTTTGTATCATCTACAATTTCATTTATCAGTATTTCGTAGTTCTCCTCACTTGTTAAATATATTCCTAGGTATTTTATTTTGTTGTAGCTATTGTAAATAGAAATTGCCTCCTTAATTTGGTCCTCAGCTAAATCATTGATGTAGACAAACACTACTGATTTACGTACATTAATTTTGTATCCTGAAGCTTTACTGAATTCATTTATCAAATCTAAGAGTTTTTTAGTGAAGTCTTTAGGATTTTCTAGGTATAAAATCATATCATCAGGCCAGGTGTGGTGGCTTACACCTGTAATCCCAGCACTTTGGGAAGCCGAGGCTGGTGGATCACCTGAGGTCAGGAGTTTGAGATCAGCCTGGCCAACATGGTGAAATCCTGTCTCTCCTAAAAATACAAAATTAGCCAGGCATTGTGGCTGGTGCCTGTAATCCCACCTACTTGAGAGGCTGAGGTAGGAGAATCGCTTGAGCCTGGGAGGCGAAGGTTGCAGTGAGTCGAGAACACCACTGCACTCCAGCCTGGGTGACAGGTGAGACTCCATCTCAAAGAGAAAAAAAACCCAAAAAAAACAAAAACCATATCATCAGTAAATAGGAATAATTTGACTTCCTCTTTTCCAAATTGGATGCCTTTTTAAATTCTCTTGCCTGATGCTCTGGCAAGGACTTACAGTACTCTATTGAATAAGATTTGGTGAAAGAGGGTATCCCTGTCTTGTTCCAGTTCTTAGAGGGAATGCTTTCAAGTTTTCCCTGTTAAGTATGATGCCGGCTATAGGTTTGTTATATACTGCGTTTCTTAAGGTGAGGTATGCTGCTTCTATGCCTAGTTTATTGAGGATTTTTATCATGAAGTGATGTTGAATTTTATCAAATGCTTTTTCTGTATCTATTGAGATGATCATTTGGTATTTGTCCATTTTGTTTATGTGATGTATCACATTTATTAATTTGCATGTTTGAACCATCCCTGCATCCCTCGGATAAATTCTGCCTAATCCTGGTGTATTATCTTTTTGATGTGGTGTTGGATTCGATTTGCTGGTATTTTGTTGAGAGTTTTTTTTTTTTTTTTCCATCTAATTTCATCAGGGATACTGGTCTCTAGTTCTTTTTTTTTTTTTTTTTATTGTGTCCTTGTCCGTTTCTTCATATCAGAGTGATACTGGCCTCATAGAATGAGCTAGGGAGAATTCTTTCCTCCTTTTTTGGAATAGTTTCATGACGATTGGTATTAACTCCCCTTGGTATCTATCTTTGTGTGTTTGGTAGAATTTGGCTCAGTAATAAAAATCTTACCCTCCTCCCCCCAGAAAAGCCCAAAACCAGATGGTGAATCCATCTGGGGTGGGGGGAGATTTTTTATTACTGATTCAATCTTGTTACTCATTATTGGTATGTTTTTTTTTATTTTATGTTATTTTATTTTATTTTTTTATTTTTTATTTATTTTATTTTATGGGTTTTTTTTCCTTTTTTATTTTAAAATTTATGTGGGTACATAGTAGGTGTCTATATTTATGGGATACATGAGATGTTTTGATACAGGCATGCAATGTGAAATAAGTACATCATGGGGAATGGGGTATCCATCCCCTCAAGCATTTATCCTTTGAGTTACAAATAATCCAATTACACTCTTTTAAGTTGTTTTAATATTCAGGGATTTTATTTCTTCCTGGTTCAATCTCAGGAGGTTGCTTGCTTGTTTCCAGGAATTTATCCACTGGAAAAGATTTTTTTTTTTTTAGATGGAGTTTTGCTCTTGATGTCCAAGGTAGAGTGCAATGGCGCAATCTTGACTCACTGCAACCTCCGCCTCCCGGGTTCAAGCGATTCTTCTGCCTCAGCCTCCTGAGTAGCTGGGATTACAGGTGCGTGCCACCACGCCCGGCTAATTTTTTGTATTTTTAGTAGAAACGAGGTTTCACCACATTAGCCAGGCTGGTCTCAAACTCCTGGCCTCAGGTGATCTGCCTGCCTCGGCCTCTCAAAGTGCTAGGATTACAGACGTGAGCCACTGTGCCTGGCCAAGAAAACCTTAAATGTGGTCTGGTGATCCTTCAGTGGATCTGTGAGGTCAAAACCAATTTCTTAATAATACTAAATTTATTTGTCTTATTCACTCTCAATCTCTCAGGAATATATTGTGGAGTTTTCCAGAATGTGATATTGCAGCTGTTTAAATACAGAAGCAGATCTGAAAAATCTAGCTTCATTCTATTAAGACAGACATTAAAGAGACTTGCAGAAGTTGAAACAATGTTACTTTTCTCACCACTTTTCAGTTTTGGAAAGGATAGTTTGTTACTCACAGTTCCCAGAAGGAAGGAGCACACACTACAGCATTCAGGGCCACAAGAGGAAGAACCAAGGTCAGCTGGGAGGCAGGAGTGAGGGGAAAGCATGGGCAAGAGCCTTGATTGTGATGTGTGCATTCTGGAATGGGTGAGAAAGGGTAAGCAGGCTAAGAATCAGCTAATTTGAATAATTTCAGCTGGCTCCAGGGTTGTCTCAGAGTGGTCTGGTGCCTGGCCCTCAGGTGATTAGGACAGGGGAGTAGTGCTCTGAAGTTTAGTAGCCCTGGTGAGAGTCTGAGAAAGGGAGCACCTGGGGGTATGGGTTTTCGATTGGATGGTTTGCATATACAAAGTATGGTCACAGGATAGTTGTTTTCCATCTCTAGGAATAATTAGCTACCTCTGGGAGGCGTAGCCTCTGACTGGTCAGCAAGGCCCCAGACACCAGGCATACAAAGAATACAGAAATTGGCCGGGCATGGTGGCTCATGCCTGTAATCCCAGCACTATGGGAGGCCGAGGCGGGTGGATCACGAGGTTAAGAGATAGAGACCATCCTGGCCAACATGGTGAAACCCCGTCTCTACTAAAAATACAAAATTTAGCTGGGCATGGTGGCGGGCGCCTGTAGTCCCAGCTACTCAAGAGGCTGAGGCAGGAGAATCACTTGAACCCAGGAGGCAGAGGTTGCAGTGAGCTGAGATTGCGCCACTCCACTCCAGCCTGGCAACAGAGTGAGACTCTGTCTTTAAAAAAAAAAAAAAAGTAAGAATACGGAAATTAAGAAAATACAATTAATACAAGTCCTTAATAATTTTTAAGAGGATAAATAATGTAGGGATGTTCTGAGACTAAAATGCTTGTGAGCTTCTGGGCTAGGTTATGCACTAACAGAGACGCCCCAAATCCCAATGGCCTAATGTGGCAAAGAGGTTTTTTTCTTTTCTCATGCAAAGTTTTCACACTTCTGAAAGGCAGTATAAAAAATATTTTAACATTTTTTTTTTAAAAAGGCCATAAAGTCAGAACAAAGGAAAATCATTTTAATTACTTTAGCTTAATGACAAATTCCGTTATGATTTTTCTTTTTTCTTCATAAATTAATAAAATTTCAGCACTACTTAGGAAGAGTTCAGGGACTGGTGCTTGGCAGTTTCTGACGTCTAGGACAATTATGGATGGAAACGATACGAAAGGAAGAAAAAACTTTGTTAATGCTGAGAGAACTTAGAGAGTGGGAGGCTGAAGATACTGGAAAAAAAGGCACTCAGTGGAAACCCTGGGGGATGTGAAGGGAAAGAGGGGGGATTGTCTAAAATAAGAAAGACAGCTCTTCCTCAGAAACTGGCTGCAAAGGAGGATGAGACAGTGCCCTTGAAGATAATTTAGTTGGGGAAAAGGGAAAAGCTAAGAGTTCGCCCTCAATGGCACTGGTTTTCTCTATGACTCACAGGCAAATTCATTGCATAAAGTTAAGAGGGCATTGAACGATGAGGGCTTAAGAGACCCATTGCAGGACTTGCGGAAGGAAGCAGGGCAAGAACATAAGATGATGGAGCAGAATCGAAGGCCCAGCTGAGTTTAGACTTTAAATAGTAATAGCATGAAGCACACAGTAGCCTAATTTTTCTAACTGTGCTCCTTCATCCTGGCTTTTAATAGAGGAGGAATTGGAGGTGGGGGATTAGAGAATTGATGCTTATCAAGAGGCAGGTATGGTGCTTAAGAACATGGCTGTTGAAGCCAGCTGCCTGGGTTAAAATCCTCTCTGCCACTTACTTTCCTATTCAGAAAATGGGGCTAATAATAGTCTTATGGTGTTTTAATGAGGACAGCAGTTGGTTTGAGGATGACACAAATATATGCTGTGGATTGTCCTTCCACATCCCCACTGCTGGGGAGTCAAGGGATCTACCTTGGTTTCTTAGGCTTCTGTGCATGATGGACTCTTGAAAAGGGACAAGCCCAGTTCCTGTCCTCTCCCTGCCCATTTTCTTCGGTGGTGTGCCCTGCTCAGTCTCTTCATCCTTGGTCCTCATTATCCTCTCTGATTGTGGTGGATTTTCCCCTATTCTCTTTCCAAACTATTTTCTGGCATAATCTGTAAGCCTTACAGATCAGAACTTTAGTTTTGAGTCTCAGTTACCTATATTAGGAGTAAACTATACTAACTCTGTTTGTATTTTTACTTTAATAATCCTAGCCTACCCATTCATCTGCTGGCTCTCCGGAGACCTCTGGATCACTGAGAAAAGGTCAGGTATGGATGATGTAAAAGATAAAAGCATAAACATACACTTCAAAAAATCTCTTTTTACTTGTTACCTCTCTTAATTCTCCTATAGGTAGATGTTCTCTTCCTTCTACATACCCAAGACTGATGCTCTGAGGATTAAAAACCTGCTCAGAGTTGCACAGCCAGTTGTTGGCAGAGTAGCAATTCAGTTCTATGCTGTGCACTTACAGCTCAATAATCCACATGCCCTCAAACAAACAGCTGAACTGGTCCAGGGTTGAGGGGTAGACGGATGGTGGCACTTAGGACAAAGGGGTGAGAGAGTTGTAGGTGTTCATGAGAGTAGCTGCTTACTGTAAGCAGCAAAGGCAAGAGGGTACAGGGTTATGTGCAGAGAGGGACTGACAGGGAGAAAGGGAAGGAGCAAAAGAGCTGCAAGTCACAATGCAATTGATGAACAAATGGGAGAGATGAAAGGAGAGGTGACCTGACAGAGTGGAATCGAAAGTTGACTATTTTAAGGGTATTGGTCCACTTCTGGATGATGACAAGTATAGAGTGTAGCCACTGGACTAAGTTGATGAAGAGAAGTTAAAGCCAGTGGTGTGGACATTAAGGATTGTTTTAGTTGTTTGAGTGAATGTTGACATTAATAGATCTGTTGCTGAAGTCCTTTATGAATGTTTGAGAGTGATCTTGAAAAGTAGGCAGGGACCAAGGCAGCAGACAGGCCCACAGCTTGTCCAAGGTTGGGGCCTCCCACAAAGTGAAGGGTTTTGGAGGCAGGAAGAATCAGGTTTTTTTGTTTTTTATTTTATTTATTTATTTTTGTTGTTGTTTTTTGAGACAGAGTCTCCCTCTATTGCCCAGGCTGGAGTGCAGTGCAGTGGTGCAGTCTTGGCTCACTACAACCTCCACCTCTTGGGTTCAAGCGATTCTCCTGCCTCACCCTCCCGAGTAGCTGGGACTACAGGCCCGCGCCACCATGCCCAGCTAGTTTTTTTGTATAAATATATATATATATATATTTTAGTAGAGACGGGGTTTCACCATATTGGCCAGGCTGGTCTGGAACTCCTGACCTCGTGATCCGCCCACCTCGGCCTCCCAAAGTGCTGGGATTACAAGCGTGAGCCACTGTGCCGGGCCGAATCAGTGCTTTTTTTTTTTTTCTTTTTTGAGACGGAGTCTGGCTCTGTCGCCCAGGCTGGAATGCAGTGACGCAATCTCGACTCACTGCAAGCTCCGCCTCCTGGGTTCACACCATTCTCCCGCCTCAGCCTCCCGAGTAGCTGGGGACTACAGGCGCCTGCCACGGCACCCGGCTAATTTTTTGTATTTTTAGTAGAGATGGGGTTTCACCGTGTTAGCCAGGATGGTCTCGAACTCCTGACCTCGTGATCCACCTGCCTCATCCTCCCAAAGTGCTGGAATTACAGGCGTGAGCCACCGTGCCCTGCCCGATTCAGTGTTTTCAATTGCAGTACTTGGCAGTTCTCATATGCGACTTCATTTGGTTCTCCCAGTAATCCAGCAAGATGCAGACAGAGCAGGAAATAGACTTTCTCCAAGAAAACCAGCTGTTAAGTAGCAGCATTTGGACTCAGTTCAAGCCTCCTGGCTGGAGTTTGCTGTGAGAGCCTTATTCCTCTACATATTATTCACAGTAGGAAATCAATCCCTTAGAAAGAAAACTTCTTTATAGATTCTTTCTACACAGAAAAGGAAGATTTTTCTACATCTTCTTCGTTCAGACAGCTAAAAATCTCTAGGCTGTCATGGTGGGGAAGAGCTATTGGGCTGACAGGAACTGGCTCAGGGGACGGTCTTGTGGTGCCACCTAGTGTTCATGATTTATCCACAAAGCTTTGACTAAATTACATGAAAAATAATGTAAAGAAATTGCAAGTAGCTGATTAATTTTGCAAGAGAATAGCTATTAAAACACCTAACAGTTTTGTCTCTCTACCAGGAAGTTTTCTTATTTTGACCTCTTGTCTACCCCAAGGACCAGACCAATTCAGTAAGTTACTTTGTTGGATAAAACAAAATATGACCTAGTGAAGTCCAAGGTTACTTAAAATTAACATGTTCCATAAGGTCTTAGATCATTCTGTATAGTGGAAAGAGCACTAGGCTTGGTGCTCTGACCAGTTCAGGTCTTAACTCAGTGGGATGGTGTATGAAAGGTGCTTCAAAACTATAAAGTGCTAAGCAAGTGTTAGATATAGTGATAATTTCCCAAGCACTGTTCTGGACCTTTGACACACTTCCCTTCTAATCCTCATATTTATAAGACAGCAGGCACTATCCAGATTTTGCATCAAAGAAACTGAGGCTCAGAAATGTTAAATAACTTGCCCAAGGTTACATAGCTATTTTTTTCTCTGCCATGCTATATGACCATTATAATACTGACATAAGGAATTAATATTAAATCATGTAACAAAAATTTATTAAGGAGCACTGTATACTATACACTGGGTTAAGAATAAGGTATATAAAGATCAACAAATATTATGGACTGAATGTTTGTGCCCCTCCCCTACTATTCATATGTTTAAGTTCAACCCCCAGTGTGACTGTATTTGGAGATTAGACCTCTAAGGAAAAGCAATTAAGGTTAAATGAGATTGTAAGGGTAGGACTCTAATCCAGTGGGATTACAGTCAGCTGTCTGTATCTGCCGGTTCTACATCTGTGGATTCAACCAACTGAAGATTTTTTTTTAAATTCAGAAAAAAACAATTAAAAATAATACAATAAAAAGAAATACAAATAAAAAGTTTAACAACTATTTACATAACATTTACACTACATTAGGTATTATAAGTAATCTAGAGATGATTTAACTATATGGGAGGATATGCATAG